CATGCAATAACACTATTATTTGAACTTGAATTAAATTAATGAAACAGTTGCATAATTCAGAATTAAATGAAATCCAAACCCTAGTTCCTTCTCATTCATAGTTTCTTTAACTTAGAAAATTCTTTAGTTTAGTTTTCTTTAGTCAGACTTAGTTTTCTTTTAAATAGCTTAGTTCTCCCCATTAATTGGTTAATTCAACTTAGGTTAGATTAATAGGGTCTTGGTAGTGTAGGATAGTCCTCGAGGGAACGATATCTTACTCATCTTATATTGCATAATCGATTAGGTTCACTTGCCTAAAAGTAGTGCGTATTTGGTGCATCAACTGGAGCCAACACAAATTCGGCAATATACCGAAAAGAATTAAATTGTTGCAAAATGAACTCTTGAGTGTTCGAAATGGTTCAGCACAAGACAACAGTTTAGGGAGGATGGAAGCATTAGAACAGGAACTCAATGATTGGCAGCGACGAGAAGAGGTCTTATGGAAGCAGCGCTCAAGGGTACAATGGTTAAAAGAGGGGGACAAAAATACTGCTTTTTTCCATAACAGAGCTTCGGCTAGGCACAAAAAGAATCACATTGCTGGACTTCTGGATGACAGGGGCTCTCTTGTAACAGATAAAACAGGGGTAGAAGGACTCTGCATTAAGTATTTCAGAGATTTATTCACTTCCAAATACACTGGTCCAAATTCCAGCATCCTGAGCGCATTACAAGGGAGAGTTTCGCCTTTGATGGCAAATAACCTTGATAGAGACTTTACTAGTTCTGAAGTTCTTGTTGCCTTGAAACAAATCCATTCTTCAAAGGCCCCAGGACCTGATGGGATGAATGCTAATTTTTATAAAAATTACTGGCATATTATAGGAGGGGATATCATATCGGCTGCGTTGGACTTCCTTAATAATGGGATTATGGTGAGAGATGTGAACCTTACTCATATTGTTTTGATCCCGAAAGTTAAAAGTCCCTCTTCTATGAAGGATTTTCGGCCCATAAGTCTTTGCAATGTGCTGTACAAAATTATATCCAAAGTCTTAACCAATAGGCTTAAATCGATCCTACCGCATATTATATCAAATAATCAGAGTGCTTTTGTTCCTGGGAGATTAATCTATGACAACATCATGGTAGCCATTGAAGCCATCCATCATCTGAAAAATAAAAAGGTTGGCCGGAGAGGGCATATGGCTGTCAAACTTGACCTTAGCAAGGCTTTCGATAAAGTAGAATTGAATTTCTTAGAGGACACTATGCGAGCAATGGGTTTTCCTGAGCGGTGGATTAACCGTGTCATGACGTGTGTTCGCACTGTGGAATACTCAGTCTTGATCAATGGGTGTCCAACAAAGAAATTCACTCCAAGTAGGGGTATAAGGCAAGGAGATCCCCTTTCCCCGTTCCTCTTTCTCTTATGTGCTGAAGGATTATCAGCTCTATTATCAAGGGCTATCAGAAGAGGGGATTTAAAGGGATTGACTTTGTGCCGAGGATGCCCTTGCCTATCGCATTTGTTTTTTGCTGATGACAGTTTGTTGTTTGGAGAAGCGTCTGTCCAAGAAGCTACAAAGCTGTTGGAAATCTTGAAGGAATATGAGGGGGTTTCCGGTCAGCAAATTAATCTTGACAAGTCCTCTATTTTTTTCAGCAGTAATACTTCCAATGTTGTGCAACAGGGGGTGATGCAAACTTTGAATATATCCAAAGTCATTGCAGATGATAAGTATCTTGGACTCCCCTTAATTATAGGGCGAAAGAAAGCTATCTGTTTCAATTCTATCCGAGAGAGAGTTTGGTCAAAAATCAAAGGATGGAAAACAAAGTTGCTATCTCGTGCCGGTCGAGAAATTTTGATTAAAGCAGTTGTACAAGCTATTCCTACATACTGCATGGGTTGTTTTAAGCTTCCGCAAAATTTTCTTCTGTCCTTAAATAGCATCATTAGCAACTTTTGGTGGGGAGATAACACTGATAGAAGACGAATCCATTGGTTACGGTGGGATCTCGTGTGTAAACCTAAGCGCTTTGGAGGACTAGGCTTCAGAGATTTTAGAGCTTTTAATTTAGCTATGTTGGCAAAGCAGAGCTGGCGGTTGATGCAGGATAGGACCACCTTATGCTATCAAATTCTCAGAGCTAAATACTTTCCCAATGGAGATTTATTGGGAGCTTCTGTAGGAGCTAAAGCTTCTATGGTCTGGCGAGGGGTTGTTGATGGTCTTGGTATTCTTAAACTGGGCTCCACTTGGCGAATAGGCACTGGACAAGACATCAGACTCTGGAGGGACAACTGGTTGCCTTCTGGAGCTATCCCTCGGCCACGGTCCGTTCTTATCCAACAGGACATGGATGATAGGGTCAGTGCTTTCATAGATGTCAATACCGGCTGCTGGAAGGAAGGAGATGTTCGTCAACAATTCTGTGCAGAAGATGCAGAGAGCATTATACATATCCCCCTTAGTAGAAGTTGCTCAGTTGATAGATTAATATGGCTTGGGACCAACAATGGCAAATTTTCAGTTAAATCTGCTTACAAATATGCTTGGGAGTTGATCTTTGGCACTCAGCACCACGCTCATGATCAAATACTGAAACCAGTTTGGAGATCAGTCTGGTCATTGAATGTCCCCTCTAAACTGAAGCATGTTTTGTGGAGGATCATATGGGAGATATTGCCTTCTCGCGATATACTGCAATTGCGTGGTCTCGAGATTGAGCACGATTGTGGTATTTGCGGTGAAGCAGAAGAATCTTATTTTCATCTGTTTTTTGATTGTGCCTGGAGTAAAGCCGTGTGGAGAGAAATCTTTCCGGCAGCTGTCTCGCATTCTATACAGCAGAGTACATTTCTCGATGGCTTTCTTGATTTCTTCCTGGCGTTGAGTTCAGATGACAGGGAATTAGTTGCTGTAACTTTGTGGTCTAT